GTGGCGACGACGACGGCGACGACGGCGACGACTCTTAGCAATTTGAAGAAAAAATTCCTTGCGACGTACCCACTTCATTTTCATCACATGGCAAGAGGAGTTGGCCGAAATTCTTGACGCTTCGCGTGTCCCCACCTGTAGACGCAGTGTGCGTCTTAATGAGGGTCATTTTGCCCCTGGCACGTGCATTTGCCTCTGAAACCAATTACCTAACAGCTTTTGCTGATAGGTTTCTACTGGATTCAAAAGAGAGCACCATGACTCCTCAGGGGGGTCTGGGCGGGACCCGGGGAGGCTGCCGCCGAAGCCGAAATCGCTTTGGACATCCTCGCAAAATCGCTCTTGGTGCTCCCAGAACTCCATTCCCGGGCCACATTTTGGATGCCCGGAGCCAACTGTAGGCCACTTCGTGCTCTTCGACTTCCCAGAACTCCATTCCCGGGCCACATTTTGGATGCCCGGAGCCAACTGTAGGCCACTTCGTGCTCTTCGATTTCCCAGAACTCCATTCCCGGGCCACATTTTGGATGCCCGGAGCCAACTGTAGGCCACTTCGTGCTCTTCGAGTTCCCAGAACTCCATTCCCGGGCCACATTTTGAATGCCCGGAGCCAACTGTAGGCCACTTCGTGCTCTTCGAGTTCCCAGAACTCCATTCCCGGGCCACATTTTGAATGCCCGGAGCCAACTGTAGGCCACTTCGTTCTTAGTTCCCAGAACTCCATTGGCCAGGCTGAGGCTGCAGGCTGAGGCTGAGGCTGAGGCTGAGGCTGAGGCTGAGGCTGAGGCAGAGGCTGAGGCTGAGGCAGGCTGAGGCTGCTGAGGCAGGCTGAGGCTGAGGCTGAGGCAGGCTGAGGCTGCAGGCTGAGGCTGAGGCTGAGGCTGAGGCAGGCTGAGCAGGGAGGCTGAGGCTGAGGCTGAGGCAGGCTGAGGCTGAGGCTGTGACTGCGACTGCCGTTGCCGCTGCGACTGTCATCGCGAATGCGACTACGACTGCGAGAACAGCAGAATTCGACAACTGGATTTTCATCTGAATCTTAATTAAGGGGAATGCTTTCAGATATGCTTCTACACATCGCTGTTAGGTTGCTTTGCCGGGATAATTTTCTTCGTTCCGCGCCCCGGACGTTGATCCCGCTCCCTGTCCCTCTCCTTGGAGCCGCGAACCAAAAAAGTGTCCCCACCAGCCCATCCAGAATTGTCTGCCAGTTTTCTTGAGGCCTCTGGAGGCTATCTTGAATCATGCTCGGCTCTTCACTGTCGGGGGCTATGTTGAGCGCCATGCTCAGCTATCTTGGGCCATGTTGAGGCAGCCTTGAGGCCTCTTGGAGGTCTGTCGGAGGCTATCTTGAGCCATGCTTGGCTATCTTAGGTCATTTTGAAAACCATACTTGCCTATCTAGGGCTGTCTTGGAGCCATGTTGGGCCAAACAGGGCGGGGTGGAGGGTCTTCTGGGAGCCCTCTTGGGGCTCTTTGGGGGGTCTGGGAAACCTCTTGGGGCCGTCTTGGGCACCATGGCTCAAAAAGGGGGGGGGGGTCAATTCGCCCCCCCCCCCCTCCCCCTCGGAGGCTCTCAAACGGCATCTTGGGGCCCTCTTGGAGCGCTCTTGGGTGCCACTTGGGCGATCTTGGGGCCGTCTTCGGCCTTCTTGGGCCCCTCTTGGGCCTCTTTTGGGCCATCTTGGTGCCATCTTGAGGCTTCCAAAGCCCATCTGAAGCGAAAAGGCGATAATGCCAAAAACGTGGGTTTTCCTTCGGCTTTTGAGCGGTTTTGGCATCTTGGAGGGCGCCGTGGAGGGCTCGAAGGGCACTTGGATCCGTCTTGGGGCTGTCTTGGGGCCTCTTGGGGGTATGTCGGAGGCTATCTTGACCCATCTTGAAGTAGCATGGGCCATCTTGGATGCCATATTGCGACTTCGAAGCCCTCTTGGAGCAACCTTGGGCCATCTTGGACGCTCTAACGCTTTGGCCCCCCCCCCTTCCTGGCCCAGGGGAGGGGGTATGGGGGAGGGGCTTCAGTGGAAGAGAGAAGAAGCAACGCGTTATACCACCTAAGCCCAGGGGGCTGGTGGGATTTGCCAGGACAGCGACAGTGCAGGCGTTGTTATATGTTGTGCAAGCTACATGGGGTGCGCTCGCGCGGCACGATTCACAAGACAGCGTCCGACGAACGATGAGCGAGGGCCCAGGCTTGATGGGGACATGGGGGCGGGAACGAAGGGCAGGAAAAGGGCGCGTGGGGGGCCGGGCCGTCAGCGCGGCAGCAGCGCAAGGAACGTGGCAGGGGGCAGAGGAAGACGACGAACGTGACGGGAGGAGACCGAAGAGTGCCGTTCTTTTTTTCGATGGTGCGCTAAAGATGCAGCCTTGCCTGCGCCGTGGCGCCGCGGCGCTCGACAAAATAATTCAACCGGCATGTTGTTGCTGCAAGAAGCAAGCGAGGCTTAGCTCGCCCGCCAGCTTCCCTGCGTCCTCCTTACACTTTTCAGCGCGGGAGCTACACGCTCGAAGGCGCGCCGCCAGGTCTGCGGGTGGCCTGCGAAAACAAGTCGAGTGACCCCCCAGCAACCTCCGAAAGTGGCGACAGTTTCGCAGATCGCATCCCCCCCCAGGGATGACAAGGTCTAATATGTCCGCTGAACCTCCTTAGCAGCCGTTGAAAGTGGTGACAGTTTCGCAAATCGTAGCCCCCCCAGGGATGGCGAGGTCCTCAGCGCCGAGTCTGCGCGATTGCCCAGTCCGCTGCCGCCCCCAGCAGCCTTCGAAAGTGCGATAGTTTCGCAAATCGCAGCCCCCCCAGGGATGGCGAAGTCTAATCTGGATTTTCGGCGAGTGCCCGCTATGCTGGCCAGCTGGCAACCTTCGAACGTGGCGACAGTTTCACATATCGCAGCCCCCCAGGGATGGCGAAGTCTAGTCTGAATCTGCGGCGAGTGCGCGCGAGGCTGGCCCCCTCCAGAGCAGCCTTCGAAAATGGCAACAGTTTCACATATCGCAGCTCCCTAGTGATGGCGAGTTTTGAGCGGGGTCTGCGGCGAGTGCCCACTAACTGCCCCCTTGCTCCCCAGCAGCCCTTGAAAATGGGTACCGTTTCGCAAATCGCAGCCCCCCCAGGGACGGCGAGGTCCTCAGCGCCGAGGCTCTGTCGACGGTACGACAGGCAGTTTCGCATATCGCAGCCACCCAGGGATGGCCAGGTAAGAGGCAATTTAACACGCAGGAAGGAGCGATGTGAGAAGCAGGAGAAAACGGGAGAGGGAGGCGGGAGGATGCGACCACAGTGCTCCATTCAAAGGAAGAACCCAACGCAGGAGGGTTTTGAAAACAACGACGACGACGACGTTGCGAGAGTGACGACGTTGACGACGACGGTGGGGAAGGGGCGGATTGAGGGGAGGAGGGGGGTGGATGTAAGGGGAGGCATGACTGAGGACGAGGGTTATATGCGGAGGAAAGCAGCGACGCAGGATCGAATTGCACCTTGAGGGTCGGGGAGGACATGTTCCCTTGTGACGGGGCGAGGAGGACGCGAGACGAAAGAAAACGAGGACCATGTTAATTAGGATGACATGAGTATGGTAACTGTAGGAATACTTGACCAGGGGAACGACTGAACATATGACTGGAGGAGAACGTGGTAACATGATTTGCCGACAATGAACGCATGATATCTGGTATAGGGGTAGGATGGCGTGCTTGTTTTCTTGTTGGGTCGTTCGAAATTGTTTGGTCCAAGGAATTCGTTCTACGTTTTTTGTTTCGCCAGGCTATGCTTGACATGCGATGGTCTGTCGAATTTGGCATAGGAAATAGCGCGGTTGTCCATCCATTCGGGCAACTCCCTGATTAGATTGCGCTGCAATGATTAGATCCACGGGGGGCAGCCAAGGCTCATGATTTGCGGGGTGTCGCAGATTCCGTTCTTACCACGCAGCAACCACCAGCATCGAGCGCGGTCGGGTGGAAACACGCGCACAACACATCGAAACACGCGGTAGCAACAAGCAGCAAGCCATGGGGCCGCGCAGACACTGTGGTGCCTGGACAGCCTCACCGATGTTGTTTTTTGTCATGTTCTTTTTCATTCGCTTTTTCGTTCCGTTGACAATCTTGTCCTGTTATATGTATTGTCGCACAACTTGGACTTATGTTCATGGAGTCGTGCCGTGGCCGAATTTGCCACCCCATAATTTGTGTGTAACATGCTTATTCGTGTTGGGGTCGCCGCAACTTTGGCCCTTGCGTAAGAGTGCGCTTGCATGGGCGGTAGTCCGTGAGCCCAGGGCGGCTCCCATATATTCTATCTCGTCCCAGGGCTTTCCAGCATGAGCAGTAGCAGCAGCGGGCGCGGCCGACCAGCAGCAGCAGCAGCAACACGTAACATCAACACACAGCAAGAGCAATCGTTAGCATCACCAGCCGAGTGGAACTAGGAAGCAGCAACCGCAAGCAACAGGCGCAAACATTAAACAGCCATAAGCAGCAATAAGCACAAGCAGTCAGCAGAAGGCAAGCGACAGCAAGTAATCATGAGCAAACAAGCAACAAGCGAGTATCTGCCAAGCTTCCGCAACAGCCAGCAGCAGCGAACAGCAGCAGCGACCTCAATGAGTTGCAAGTGGCAGCAACCAGCAGCAGCCACAGAGGCTACGAGTGGCAGCGAGAAGCAGCAAGTGAACGTAAGCTGCAACACACCATAGCAAGCCAACATGCCGTGCCGACGTCTAGGTACTGCGGACTAGCTGCCTCGTAGGGTCCCGAAAACACTTGTGCCTCTGATGCTGTGTTCGGCCGTGCCGTTCCGCGTCTGCAGTGCCGTGCAGGCAAGAAACCTGGCGTACCAGATGCTTTGCTGCATCATGCTGCGCTGTGTCTGCTGTACCGCGTCGCAAACCCGCTTATCCTTCAACATGTGCTGCGTGTTTCTTTGTGCGCTGCCCATCTCGCCTTTGCGTAAGAGTTAGATCTTGCGGGGGTCATGGTCCACGGGTCAGCCCCAGTCAGCCACAACGCGGTCATCAGCGCGTGCGAGAGAGGCCAGCAGTGGCAGTACGCTCTGCTATTGCTCAGCGAGATGGGGACCGCGAGATCGGAACCCGACGTAATCAGCTTCACCGCTGGGATCAGCGCTTGCGAGAAAAGCGGGGCGTGGCAGCAGGCCTTGTCCGTGATGGGCGAGATGCGGAAGGTGACGTTGGAGCCCAACGTCATCTCTTTTGTAACGCAGGGATCCGCGCGTGCGAGACGGTCCTCTGTCTTGAGTGCCTTCCCGGGCCCTCTGGGGCGCCCTCCGGGTCGCAGATGCCGCAAAAACGGCCTCGGGATGGCTCTGGGCGGCTCCAGGGGGCGCCAAGACGGCCTCAGAGCACCCTTGGGAGTCCCAAGACAGCCTTGGGGGCCCCCAAGGCAGGCCAGGAGGCTCCCCAAACTGCCTAGGAAGTCCTCCCGGAGAGCCCCAATAGGCCAAAATCGTCCCATTCCCGACGGGAAACGCACATTTTCACGATATTCCGTTGTGCCGTCCTCACAGCGTCCAAGACGGCTATACACGCTCCCCAGCTCGCCCCAAGACGGCCCCCAAAGGGCCCCACACGGCCCCGGGACGGCTCCAGAGGCGCCCGAGACGGCCCAGGACGCACCCAAGACAGCCCCAAGAGCAGCAAAGAATGGCCAACGGGACGGCTCCGAGAGGCTCCAGGGGGCCCCAAGGCGGCCTCAGAGCACCCTTGAAAGCCCCAAGACATCCCCAGAGGCCCCCAAGGCAGGCCAGGAGGCTCCCAAGACGGCTTAGGAAGGCCTCCCGGAGAGCCCCAAGAGGGCCCAAATCGTCAGTCCTGATGGGAAACGTACATTTTCAATCTATCTTGCTTTTTCGTCCTCGCAGCGTCCAGGACGGCTATACAGGCCCCCCAGCTCGTTCCAAGACGCGCCCAGACGCCCCCAGGAGGGCCCCCAAACGGCCCCACACGGCCCCGGGACGGCTCCAGAGGCGCCCGAGACGGCCCAAGACCCAAGACGCACCCAAGACAGCCCCAAGAGCAGATCATAATGCCCCAAGACGGCCCCACCGCCCCGTCTCCAAGACGGCTGTGGAGACCCTCACCGCTCCGTCTCCAAGCCTTTCCGTTTGGACAGTCTCGAAGACGGTCTCTGGGCCGTCCGGGACGGCTCCAGAGGCGTCCGAGACGGCTCGAGAAACTTCAAAGACAGCCCTAAGAACGCCCAATATTGGCCCAAGATGGCCCCAAGACTTTCCCAAGATGGTCCGAGAGGTGCCCAAGACGACCCCACATCGCCCCAAGACTGCCCAAGACGCACTCAAGACTGCCCAAGAGGGCTCCGAGAGACCCACCCCCGGGAGGACGAAAAGAGGCCCCCAAGCGACCCCCAAGGCCTTGGATTCTTCTCTCTTGGGGAGAGTCGAACTTCAGCGTCGTCTTGAGGGCTTCTTGGACCCTCCGGGAGCCTTCTCTGCGCCATTTGGAGACGTCTTGGGGCGGTGCGCTCGAAAGGTCGATTCGTGTCCTCGCACTGGGGCCCGTCTTAGGGAGTTCCGTCTCGCCGCCCTCTTGCGGGCCTCCTAGGCTGCGCCCACTGGCCCCATTGTCACCACACTACCAGATAAAATTATCATTCGACCCCGGCAGGTCAAATGATCACGGCTTCCCGCAGAAACTATAACGAACACAGATTGCGGCGTGAGAAACAGCTTCTGTCCACACCATGTCATGCCTACATGTGTGTGCTTCCACTGACACCGCCTCTTCCACTGCGTTCCTGCTTTTAGGCCTTCTTGCCTGCATCCCTCGCCCACCTCCCCCTCCAGCGGCCACCTCCTCCATCCACGCCGTCCCCTCCAACCTCCCCTTACCCGCGAGGTCCCAGAGACGCTCCACTTCGACGTCCTCGCCATGGCGGGCAAATTCCGCGGCCTGAAGGCCGCGGGTCAGCCCTAGTCTCTTCTACAATGCAGCGATCTTTGCGTGCCAGAAGGTCCTCTGTCTTGAAAGGTCAGCCGGGCTCTCCAGGCCGCCCTGCTAGCCCCCGAGCCGCTCTGAGACGGTTCAGAGACGCCCACGAAGGCGCGCGGACAGACCAAGAGGGACCCAACCGAGCCCCAGGTCGGCCCCAGAGGCCTCCAAGGCAGGCCAGGAGGCTCCCAAGGCGGCCCAGGAGGAACCCCAGGAGGGACCCAAGAGGCAAAAATTGCCCCATTCCTTTTCGGAAAACGTGCATTTTTGATATGCTCGCTCTTTTCGTCTTCACCGCGTCCAAGACAGCTATGCAGGCCTTCCCGATCGCCCCAAGACGCCCCAAGAGCACCCCAGGCGGGCTCCCAAACGGCCCGAGGCGGCCCCGCGACGGCTCCAGAGACGCCCTAGACAGCCCCAGAGGCAAGCAAGACAGCCCCAAGAGCGGTCAATAACGGCCCAAGACGGCCCTCAGATGGCGAGCGCTCCGAGCCGCCCCCGGAGGGCCCCAAGGGGGCCCGAAGACGGTCCACGAGGGCCTCCGAGACGCAAGTTTTTCCATTTGGGTAGTCTCCAAGACGGTCTCTGGGACGTCCGGGACGGCTCCAGAGGCGTCCGAGACGGCTCAAGAAACACCGAAGACAGCCCCAGTAGCGCCCAATATTGGCCCAAGATGGCCCCAAGACTCAAGGGCTCCCTCGAGGGCGCGAAGTTATTCGCGCTTCGCGCTTCGCGGTCCTCGTTCCTTCTCCTTCTCCTCCTCGTCCTCCTATTCTCCCTTTGGGAGGGCGGCGCGAGAGCGCGAAGTTATTCGCGCTTCGCGCTTCGCGCAGCGCGAAGCGCGAAGTTGGGAGCCCTAGAAGACTGTCCCAAGATGGTCCGAGAGGCGCCCAAGACGGCCCCACATCGCCCCAAGACGGCCCAAGATGCACTCAAGACTGCTAAAGGCTAAAGATGGCTCCGAGAGACCCACCCCCGGGAGGACGAAAAGAGGCCCCCAAGCGGCCCCCGAGAGGCCTTGGCTGCTTCTCTCTTGGAGAGCGTCGACCTTCCAGCATCGTTTTGGAGGCTTCTTGGACCCTCTGGGAGCCATCTTTGCGCTATTTGGGGGCGTCTTGGGGAGGTGCGCTCGAAAAGTCGATTCGTGTCCTCGCACTGGGGCCCTTCTTAGGGAGTTCCGTCTCGTCGCCCTCTTGCGGGCCTCCTAGGCCGCGCCCACTGGCCCCATTGTCACCACACTGCCAGATGAACTGATCATTCGGCCCCAGCGAAGAGCAGATCAACTTCTCACGGCAACCTTCCCCGCAGAAGCTATAATGAACACAGACTGCGGCGTCAGAAACAGCTCTGTCCACACCATGTCATGCCTACATGGGTGTGCTTCCACTGACACCACCTCCACCACCGCGTTCCTGCCTTCAGGCCTGCTTGCCTGCATCCCTCGCCCACCTCCCCCTCCAGCGGCCACCTCCTCCATCCACGCCGTCCCCTCTAACCTCCCCTTACCCGCGAGGCCCCAGAGACGCTCCACTTCCACGTCCACGCCAGGGCGGGCAAACTCCGCGGCCGGAGGCCGCGGGTCAGCCCTAGTCAGCTACAGCGCTGGGATCAGCGCGTGCGAGAAGGGCAGACAGTGGCAGCGCGCCCAGTCGTTGCTCTGCGAGATGCGGGAGACAAAGCTTCAGCCCGACGTCATCTACGGTGGGGGCTTTCTTTGGTTAAGGAGTGTTGCCAGGAGGCTTCAGCCCCTGGAGGGTTCCTGATCTAACGAGGGCGGCGGTCAGATCGATGGTCAATCCACGGTTGGAGTTTCACCGTCTTCCAGTTCCTGGATTCCTTATTCAATGGTTTCTTATCTGATGCCCTCACCGTCACTCACACTGCGGCACCGCTTGCGCGAAGTGGGTCCTCTGTTTGCGTGGGCGGCGCCGCCGGGGTGACTCCGCCAGCGTCGCGCTGCGGGTCTGCGCGCTCCGAGGCCGCCAGGGTCGCTGCGAGTCGGCCGCAGTCGGGCCTCACCGCCTCTGGGATGGCGCCCGAGAGATCCCAGGAGGCCTTACGAGGCGCACGCGAGGCCCCGATGGGGAGGCCCGCAGAGGCACCAGGAGAGACCCCTGACGGCACAGATCTTTGAACTCCATTAGGTTGTCTTTTTGGTGTTTGGGTTTTTCGACCCAAGCCCGCTTCAGGAGGGATTCGCGCTGCCTCGGAGTGCGCTAGAACGCCGGCCTTGCGAGAGCTCCAAGAGGGTCCAAGAGTGCCCCAAGAAGCCTCCCAGGCGGCTACTTGACGGGCCCAGGGAGGGCCCCAAGACGGCCCGGGAGGGCCCCCGCAGAGCCCTTAGAGGGCCCAGGATTCACCGTGACTGCCTGGCCCCATTGTGGCCCCTCTGTGAGCAGCTAGCAGCAGCAAGCACCAGTATTCAGTAATTGCACGCATTAGCAGCATAAGCAGCAAACACCAGCAAACAACAACACCAGACTGCAGCACTCAGCATCACGCGACAGCAAATACCAAGCATCGGTAGCAGCACGTGCCAAGCGGCATCAACTGGAAATACGCAAGAAGCATCCAGAGGCGGTACGCGGCAGTGGGCGGACGAGCAAGCACTGAAGCAAGCAAGCAAGACATCGAGCGAGCCAGCATGCAATCAGGCAGGCGGGCAAGCGGGCAAGCGGGCAATCCAGCTGACTGGCCAGCAGGCTAGCAGCCACGCAAGCATGACATCATGCAGGTATGCAATGAGGCAAGCGATCTACATTCTTGCACTTTCGCTTTCGTGGACGAAGTTTTGGCTCAAGCGATTGCTGTAGTTGCCTTGCCCCCCCTCGGGCAGCGCATAGGAGCCATGTCCGCTGATGGCGCCGCCCTCCTGGCGGCGGCTGTTCGCGCCGCTTGCCAAGCGGGCGCCCCTCGAAGGACAGTGCAGGCTGTCGCGGCGGCAGTCACAGGCGTCTTGGTGCGCCCGGCTGCCGACGCCGTGTCTCGCACACGTCCTGAGCGGGCTGCCGCTGGTGCGCAGAGCGCCGGTACGGCGCCCCACGACCCTGCACAGTTGTTGGATACGCTCCGTGCTGCGAGTCGCGCTCAACGTTCGAGGAAGGAGGAGCGCCGCAAGGCAGCCAAGCAGGCTAAGGCTGATGCCGCGCGGGCTCCCCATGATTTGCCTCCTGAAGATGTTTCCCCTGACGGTGTCGCAGCTGGCCGCGCGGGTCTTGGGGGAGATCTTGTCGCAGCGCCCGCTCTGGCGTCACCAAGTCCTGCAGCTGGCGCTGATCCGCCTACGCAGCCAGCAGGACTGCCTCTAAGCGAGCTCCCCGCCCGTGGCCGAGCTGACTGTGTGCGTGATGACGATGGCAGTTGCCACGCCTTGCGGGCTTCTTCATCCCACACCTTGCGCCCCGGAGACCTGGCTTCTGTGACGTCGGCAGGGATGTACCGGAGCCAGTTTGCTGCCGATCCCAGGGCCACACCTTACAGGGCTGGCCGCGGTGGGACGACGGGCGGCAAACCACTTGAGCGTTGAAGTTGGGTGCCTGCTCATTTACGCTAATGTTTTCTGTGCGCGCGAATGCAGCTTGGGCGGTGTGCAGTTGATGTGCAATTCCATATCAGTTTTGCTGTCTGCGTTTATGTCGCCATGGTCATCCTTCCCTCTGGTGTCAGCGCAATCCAACGGGCTCGTGACTCGTCGACTGCAAGATGGGTTCGGGCTTCGTATTCACGCGCACCTTCGACTTTGTGTTCAAGTTCTCCTTGGACTCCCGCTAGCTCGGACAGCGTCCCTGGCCCGATCAGGCGCTACCCCTTCTGAGCCCAATGTAGCATTGAGGCAGGCTTAGCCAACCTCGTTTTCTTTACAGTGGCTGGGCAGCCCCCAGTCTTTCTCACCATATCGCTTTCGTGGACGTTAGTCCACGGGCGGCCTCAGTCATCTCTCCTACATGGCCAGTGGAAGCGCGTGCGAGAATTATTCCGGGCCTCGCGTGCACGAGATCGCCCTTTTGCGGCGCCACCGCGGGGCCGAATTGCTCAGGCCGGTCCCACTGGCGCTCCAGGTGGGTTTCCAGACCGTCCAAGAGCGCTCCAAGACGGCCTCAGTGGGCCCCGAGACGGCTCACGAGGTCCCGAAGCCTTCCGCGGGGGGGCTCTACGACGATCCAAGAGGCCGCGAAGACGCCCCAAGAGGGCCCCGAACGCGCGCCAAAGAGGCACAAATCGTCAAATTCCGATGGGAAAACGTTTACTTTCAGCATGCCCGCCCAGGACACGCCAAGAGGCTTCCCACATCGCTCCAAGAAGACGCCAGCGGCCCCTCAGAGGGCTCCAAGACGGCCCACAAGAGCCCGAAGATGACGCCAGAGAGCCCTGAAACGGCTTCACAGAGCCCCAAGACGGCCCCAAGAGAGCTCCGAGGGCTCCCCAAGAGGCTCCCAAGACGGCCTCAGGCAGCCTCAAGAAAACTCCAAGACGGTCCAAGGCCTCCCAGACACGGCCCAAAATGGCCCCAAAACGCGCCAAAACGCTCCCAGAGCAGCCCAAACAAGCTTCAGAATGGCCCGAACAAGCCCCCCACAAGGACCGCCAAGCAGGCCCAGAGACGCCCATTAAAAGAGCGATCGGTGAAGTACAAAGCTCTTCTCACCAAGGCTCCCAGGAGCGAGACGCAGCATAGAGAGCTCTCTCAGGCACAGCTCCCAAGAGCGAGCGGTGACGTCGGGACACCCTTCCGACCTCTCACACAAGGAGCACGCGCGTACAGCACGCAAGCACAATAGATTTCCTGGGCTGCCCCCTGGAAGAGGCTCGGGGGGACAGCCCAGGAACGGCCCCAAAAGCGCCCCAAAAAACTTCAAGAGAAAAGGCCCCCAGGAGGCCGCAAGACGGCACAAGAGGGCCCCGAGAGGCCCCTAGGAAACCGCAGGACAGCCAACGAGGCCCCAACATGCCCCCAGGAGTTCGAAAAGAAACCCCGAGAGGCCCACTAAGCGTTCCCAAGGAGACGGCAGCGCCCGCCATCAGGCTTCGAAGAGGCAACCGGAAAAAAGTCACCAGAGCCTTCCGGGTGTTTTTTTCAAGGCCCCAGGTGCTTTCACAATTGACAAGCGGCGAGACGTACACCGCGGACTGTCTACGCGGAGGTAGAGCGGAAGGCGGACGAAGAGAAGGACGCGGTCCAAGAGGGCCTCCGAGACGGCCCAATCGAAGACGCTCCAGACGAGCCGCGGCAAACGAAATCATTGTTTTTTTCTATGGTCTCTGACGAAGACAGACCCAAAACGGCCTTTTCGAGCCAAGGCTGGCCCAAGATGACGTGGACGAAGTCCACGGGTTCGCCCTAGTCTCTTCTCTATGGCAGACGGAAGCGCGTGCGAAAAGGTCGTGCCTTCGCCCTCCCTGGAGGACCATTTTTCGATACCCCTCACGCAGATCCTTGCCCCCGAGCGTCACAAATCGAACCCTCCCCCCAAAGACGCGCCGAAGTGGCCATAAGAGGCTCCAAGGAGCGTCCAAGAGGCCCCTTAGAGGCCCCCAACAAGGCCCAAGAGGCCTCCAAGAACTTCCAACAGTCCTCCGAAGCATGCCCCCAGAGGCCCAAATCCTTAATTTTTCAATTGTTTTTCATGGAGTGTTGCCTCTCGCCTTCTCGGCTAGCCGACGCTCCAAGACGGCCGAAGAGACCCACAAGGCCGTCCCAGGACGGCCCAACAGGCCTCCAAGCGCGTCCCTAAAGGGCCCAGGGAACCCCAAGCTGGCCCAAGAGGCGCCCAAACCGGGCCCAGAGGACCGCAAGCCAGGCCCAAGAGCGGGCCAAAAAACGGGGAAAAACCATGACATTCCGAGCCCTGGGCCCCCATACGCCCACACAAGGCCCCAAGACCCCCCCACGAGGCCTCCAAGAGCCTCCAACACTACTCCAAAGCATGCCCCCGGAGGCCAACATCTTTAATTGTTCAATGGTTTTTGGTGGAGTTTTGCCTTCTCGCCTTCTCGGCTAGCCGACGCTCCAAGACGGCCGAAAACACCCACAAGACCGCGCTTGCCTTCTCGCCTTCTCGGCTAGCCGACGCTCCAAGACGGCCGAAGACACCCACAAGACCGCCCCAGGACGGCCCAACAGGCCTCCAAGCGCGTCCCCAGAGGGCCCAGGGAGCCCCAAGGTGGCCCAAGAGGCGCCCAAGCCGGCCCCAGAGGACCCCAAGCCAGGACCCCCAGGAGGGACCCAAGAGGCAACAAATGCCCCATTCGCTTTGGAAAACGTGCATTTTTGAAATGCTCGCTCTTTTCGTCTTCACCGCGTCCAAGACGGCTATACAGGCCTTCCCGATCGCCCCAAGACGCTCCCCAGGAGGGCCCCCAAACGGCTATACAGGCCCTCCACCTCGCCCCAAGACGCGCCCAGAGGCCCCAAAGGGCCCCACGCGGCCCCGACGGCCCAGGACGCACCCAAGACAGCCCCGAGAGCAGCCAAGAATGGCCAACGGAACGGCTCCGAGAGGCTCCAGGGGCACCACGACGACCTCAGAGCACCCTTGGGAGCCCCAAGGCAGCACCAAAAGCCTCCAATGCAGGCCAGGAGGCTCTCAAAACGGCCCAGTAGGGCCTCCAGGAGAGCCCCAAGAGGCCCAAATCGTCCCATTCCCCTTGGGAAGCGTACATTTTCGCTATGTTTCGTTTTTTCGTCCTCGCAGCGTCCAGAACGGCTATAGGTGAGGCCCTCCACCTCGCCCCAAGATGCGCCCAGAGGCCCCCAAAGGGCCCCACACGGCCCCGGGACGGCTCCAGAGACGCCCGAGACGGCCCAGGACGCACCCAAGACAGCCCCAAGAGCAGCAAAGAATGGCCAACGGGACGGCTCCGAGAGGCTCCAGGGGGCGCCAAGACGGCCTCAGAGCACCCTTGGGAGCCCCAAGACATCCCCAGAGGCCCCCAAGACAGGCCAGGAGGCTCCCAAGACGGCCCAGGCGGGCCTCCAGGAGAGCCCCAAGAGGCCCAAATCGTCCCATTCCTGACGGGAAACGCAACTTTTCAATATATCTTGCTTTTTCGTCCCCGGAGCGCCCAGAAGGCTATACAGGCCCCCCAGCTCGCCCCAAGACGCGCCCAGACGCCCCCATAAGGGCGCCCAAAGGGCCGCACACTGCCCCAGGACGGCTCCAGAGGCGCCCGAGACGGCCCAAGACGCACCCAAGACAGCCCCAAGGGCAGTCAATAATGGCCCAAGACGGCCCCACCGCCCCGTCTCCAAGACGGCTGTAGCGGCCCCCGCCGCCCCGTCTCCAAGCCTTTCCGTTTGGACAGTCTCCAAAACGGTCTTTGGGCCGTCCGGGACGGCTCCAGAGGCGCCCGAGACGGCTCAAGAAATACCCCAGTAGCGCCCAATATTGGCCCAAGATGGCCCCAAGATTGTCCCAAGATGGTCCGAGAGGCGCCCAAGACGGCCCCACATCGCCCCAAGACGGCCCAAGATGCACCAAGACTGCCAAAGAGGGCTCCGAAAGACGAGAAGAGGCCCCCAAGCGGCCCCCAAGAGGCCTTGGATGCTTTTCTCTTGGGGAACGTGGAACTTCCAGCATCGTTTTCGAGGCTTCTTGGACCCTCTGGGAGCCATCTATGCGCTATTTGGGGACGTCTTGGGGAGGTGCGCTCGAAAAGTCGATTCGTGTCCTCGCACTGGGGCCCTTCTTAGAGAGTTCCGTCTCGCCGCCCTCTTGCGGGCCTCCTAGGCCGCGCCCACTGGCCCCATTGTCACCACGCTGCCAGATGAACTTATCATTCGGCCCCGGCGAAGAGCAGATAAACTTCTCACGGCTACCTTCCCCGCAGAAGCTATAATGAACACAGACTGCGGCGTCAGAAACAGCTTCTGTCCACACCATGTCATGCCTACATGGGTATGCTTCCGCTGACACCGCCTACACCACCGCGTTTCTGCCTCCAGGCCCGCTTGCCTGCATCCCTCGCCCACCTTCCCCTCCAGCGGCCACCTCCTCCATCCGCGCCGTCCCCTCCAACCTCCCCTTACCCGCGAGGCCCCAGAGACGCTCCACTTCCACGTCCACGCCGGGGCGGGCAATTTCCGCGGCCGGAGGCCGCGGGTCAGCCCTAGTCAGCTACAACGCGGTCATCAGCGCGTGCGAGAAAGGCGAGCAGTGGCAGCAGGCTCTGTCGCTGCTAAGCGACATGTGGCAGGCGGAGTTGGAACCCAACAGTGTCAGCTTCTCTGCTGGGATCAGCGCGTGTGGGAAAGGCGGGCAGTGGCAGCGTGCTCTTTCGTTACTGCCCGAGATGCGGGCGGCGAAATTGTGCCCAGATGCTTTCAGCTACGGCGCAGGGATCAGCGCGTGCGAGAAAGGCATGCAGTGGCAGCAGGCTTTGTCGTTACTCAGCGAAATGCGGGGGGCGAAGCTGAAACTTGGGGTCATCGCCTACAGCGCTGGGATCAGCGCGTGCGGAAAAAGCGAGCAGTGGCAGCAGGCTTTGTCGTTGCTGAGCGACATGCGGGGGGCGAAGCTTGAGTCCGATGTCATTAGCCTCACTGCTGGGATCAGCGCGTGCGAGAAAGGCGAGCAATGGCAGCAGGCTCTGTCGCTGCTAAGCGACATGTGGCAGGCGGAGTTTGAGCCCAACGTTGTCAGCTTCTCTGCTGGGATCAGCGCGTGTGGGAAAGGCGGGCAGTGGCAGCAGGCTCTGTCGTTGTTCAGCGAAATGCGGGGGGCGCGGCTGGAGCTGGGAGTCATCAGCTCCAATGCTGCGATCAGCGCGTGCGGCAAGAGTGGGCAGTGGCAGCATGCTCTGTCGTTGCTGAGCGAGATGCGGGGGTCGAAGGTGGAGTCCAACGTCATTTCTACCATTTTGTCTGACGCGGTGCACACCAAGAGGGTGGATCGTTGCCTCGGGTGTGGCTTAGTTGGCTTCGAGAAGCCCCAGACCAATCCAGGGCTGACCAAAAGGTCCCGAAGAGCCTCTCAACGTATGCGGACTCCGAAACGACTCAAGAGTTCCAAGGTACCTGACGGGCCGCACCACCAGCCGAACCAGGGCCCCATCTGGGAGGCCCGCAGAGCCCCAAAGAGAGCAGGCTCCAGACAACAGGGACCACCTACAAGCCTGCATGGTAAGGCTTCGGGTTGCGCACAGACGGCCCCTCCAGGTGGTCCTGGCTGGCCTCGGGAGGCCCCCCCCCGAGTAGTCCCAGCTGGTCTCAACAGGCCTCCCGAGCAGTCCAGGGCTGTCTCAACACCCTGGCGCCGCCTTCCGCGACCCCTCTGGGGCGCTCCGCTCCCCAGGGTCGAGGCTTTGACACCGCCTCGGACTACTCCTGGGGTGTGTGCGCAACCCGAAACCTTTCCGTTCCCTTTGCTTCCTTGGTTTTGCTGCGGTTCTTTCTTGCTGCTCCTCTTCCTCCTCTTCCCTGGTCGGTTGTTGCATCGTGGAGTCCCCAGCAGTTGGGAAACTGCAGCTTTTCCAGACCCATGGACTGACCCACTGGGTCGGTTCCCGCTTATACGCGGCGCTGCTCCCTTCTGCGGACGCCTCCGACGTATAGGCCCTACAGGCCCTCGCAGCGAGAAAGGCCCTGCGGGTAGCGCCTACAGGCACTGCCGCTGGGGAACGAGGATGCCTGTAGGCAGGAAGGGCCTGTGGGCGTGCCTGTAGACAGGGATGGGTCTGTACGCGTGCTTGTAGGCAGGGGAGGAGGGCGCCTGTAGACAGGGATGGGCCTGTAGGCGTGCTTGTTCGCAGGGAAAGGAGAAATGGGAAAAGGAGGGATTGCCTACAGGCATGGAGGGCCTGTAGGCGTGACTGCAGATAGTGAACGGGAGAGTGCCAGTAGGCAGGGAGGGCCTGTAGGCGCGCCGGTAGGCAAGAGGGGAGGGGGGGAGTGCGTATAGGCAGGAAGGGCCTGTAGGGAGGGAGGGAGGGAGGGGGGGAGGAAGGGAGAAGGGAGCGTGCGCGCAAGCCCGCCGCCCTCCTTTCTTAACACGCGGCGCTGGTATGCGTGCACCAAGGTCGACGTAACCACGCCGATCTGCAGCACCTTGACAGCCAGGTCGTCCACATCTGGCGTATCCCGCAGCACCCACTGCAAGAGCTCGCCCCTCGGCGGGCCCCACGCTGCCTGCACCGCTTCCCGGCAGGCCTTCACGGCGAAACAGTACGCAACCAGGCGCTGGAGGCAGCCCGCCCAGCCAGCGCACAGCGGGCACGCCTCGGGCAGTCGCTCCGTGGGCAGGCCCTGACCCCCGACCGGGATTTGGAGCGACACGCGGGCCACGCAGCCTTTGCACGATGGAACCGCCACACGGTTAGCTCTCTGGACGCCTACCTGAGGCGTAGTGCAACACGAGGACCTCCGCGATGAGCGAGAGCCTGTCGCGGCCATAGACCTCCTTCGCCGAGAAGGTGCTCCGGGTTGGCTGGTGGACCGGCAGTGCCGTTTGGTGGTAGGCGAACGGCTGCCCGGGGGCGTGTTGCCCCGCTGCCAGCGGCGTCGGCCCCGAGGGGGGGGGCGGTGAGGGCGGCGCAGTTGCGCCAATCCACGCCTGCGGTGGCGGCCCTAGCGGTGGGCCAGCGAGCGGTCCACCCTCCTGCCCTGTTGCCGCCGCCCCCAAGGGTCCTGGTCGCGGCGCCAGCCCGCGCTGGTTTTCCAGCCAAGCCACGTTGGCGAGCTTCTGGGATGTCCCTGGGCTGATGGGAGTGGTCAGGAGCGGCTGCGCTGGCTTGTCGCTGCGAGCACCATCGCTCACTGGAGCAAGCCCCCGCGGCCCAGACCGCGAGCTGTTACGGTTGCTTCTCGGCCTGGCTGTCCCCTCCGCGCCCTGCCTAGACCAAGGGGTCGGCTTTCGGCCGAGGCAAGGGCGGCGGGCCTGATCCATCCGCAGGGCTCCCGAGACCCACAGCGGCCCAGGCCCGGGCGGCCACGTCGGACCTCGCGGCGGTGCGATAACCTGGCGAGACGAAAAGAAACGAGGAGGGTACAGCTTCTCCGTAGTAGGGCCTCGTGAACTGAGGCTGGAGAGAGGGAGCGCCTGTAGGCCGGGAGTGCCTTCAGGCGCGCCTGTAGGCGAGGAGGAGGGAGTCCCTATAAGCAGGGAATGCCTTCAGGCGTGCCTGTAGGCAAGGAGGGAGGGAGCGCCTGTAGGCCAGGAGTGCCTTTGGGCGCGCCTGTAGGCGAGTAGGGAGGGAGTGCCTACAGGCAGGGAGTGCCTTCGGGCGTGCTTGTAGGCTGGGAGGGAGGGAACGCCTTTGGGCAGAAGGAAAAGGAGGAGGAGGAGGAGGAGGAGGAGGAGGAGGAGGAGGAGGAGGAGGAGGAGGAGGAGGAGGAGGAGTAGGAGGAGGATGAGGCGCCGTGCAGGAGCCGCAGGCGCGGGGGTCAGGAGGGCTCCCGAGAATCGACGACCTTTTCCGTCGTTCGTGCGAGGTTTCTGGATGTTTCTAGCCTCCCATGCCTTTCTCTAATTTGGCCTCCTGGATGGGGTCCGGGTACACTGGTCGGCAACAGCAGGCCCTGCAGCAATCACCAGCGGCACGCTGGCAAGCAGACATAGCAGGGAACAGCATCCTTTAGCAAGCAGCAGCAGCAGCAGCAGCAGCAGCAGCAGCAGCAGCAGCAGCAGCAGTAGCAGCAGCAGCAGCAGCAGCAGCAGCAGCAGCAGCAGCAGCAGCAGCAGCAGCAGTCAGCAGCTACGGCCGCCGCCGCCCGCATCAGCAGCAAGCAAACGCACGCAGCAGGCAGCAGCATGCGCAGCCAATACCAGCTACTAGTTATCAGCAGCACCCTGCAGCCAGACGCAGCAGCAGCCAGCGGCAAGGGCAAGTATGATCAGCAGCACGCAGCAGCAAACAGGAGCACGCAGCAGCAAACACGCCGGAACTCGCGGCAGCACCATGCCACGAGAAGCAGTTGCGCACGGCTGCAGCAGTGGCACGAAACGGCAACACTAACCAACAGAAAGTTACACCAAACACCAGAAACGCAAGTAGACGGCAGAGGGAGGACGAACCAGCAATGAAGCAACCGAGCAGGCCAGCAGGCTAGCCATCACACAAGCTGGACAGACACCATGTTGTGTGCGAATGAGCTTTCGCGGCTGGTTGTCTAATTGTCGTCCCTAGTCAGCTACAGCGCTGGGATCAGGGGTTGCGAGACAAGTGGGCAGTGGCAGCGTTCTCTGTGTTTATTCAAATGCTTCACGCAGTCCATTGGCCCACCTTGTATCATGATTGTCATTTGCTTTGGTGGTTGTGAGGGCAGGAAAGTCGGTGTAGCTTGCAGTTTTCCCTTCACTGTCGAGTGATGCCCGCGTCGAGGAAAGCATGGGGGTTAGTTAGAGCCTTGCCCTGGCCACCAGAGGCGAGAAAGCCAAGCTCATTGAATAACATCTCGTTCTTCCCCTGCGTTCCGCTTTCCTGAAAGCCCCCGATGGAGATTTTTGCAACCAACTCTTAGCTAGTTTGACGTCCATTGGGCTGGCTTGGACCCCCCCTCTGACCATCTAGGAAATATTGGGATCTCCCTGGGCCGTCCTCGGGCCATCTTGAGAGTTCTTTAGAACTTCTGATGGCATTTGAGGATTGCCCCAGTTGTATGACCAGTGGCAGTAAGCCGCACAGCAATCACACTACCTTATCACCAGACTGGAGGATGACGGCAGTCGGTTTTCGATGTCGACCTGATAGAAGACCAAAGATGTCAATCAGGGAGGGATCGTTGGCTGCGCCCCAGATCTAACTCTGCGATGTTTGGCAAAGTTGAGAGCTACTTCCGTCTTCATGAGCCCCAGGGGGATCCAAAATAGTTCAACCGGGCGCCGCGGTGTCACTGATATGGCCTCGGGCTCTGGGAGGCTCATGCCTTGAAGACTGCCTCATTGGCTCCGCTGATAGCAAGGTGGCCCCGAGATGCAAATCGACCAAAAGGGCCCCGAAACGGCCCCAAGGCGCCTCTCACCCTGCCCAGGGCCGCCCTCAGATGTCCAGTAACTCTCCAGACGGTCCCAAGTCCCTTGAAAAGAACCCACGAGGCTCTCAGGGACCCCGAGACGGCCCCATGCCCCAAGAGACCTCAAGAAGGCTCCGAGAGAGCTATAGAGCGCCCCGAGAATGCCTCAAGATAACTCCGAGAAACACCCCCCCACCACGCACGGGGGCGAAGAAGCCGCTTGCGCGATGATCCAGCACGTCTCAACTGACGGCGGGCTAAGTGAGGCACCCAGGGCCACCCTGGGAGCCAGAAGGCGAAAAAGTGGAAGGATCGGCGTCGCCCAACCATATTATTAGTACTATGTGTGCGTCGCCCCCAAAGCGGGCGACGCGCGCGCTCAGGAGTCTGTTGTGTAATGCGTGGCGGGAGTGGGGATGTTGGGGTTTCCAGTTCTGGTCTCTGTAGCCACTGAGGCTCGAGACCAGGGGTTGTGACAGTGGGCCGTGTCCGGCCGAAACCACTCCCGCGCTAGGGGGAGAGACCGCGCGGCGACGGGGCCCTGGGGGCTCGTTGTGCACGCCGCGGTGGTCCTCGTCGGCGGGGTGCAGGCGAGCCAGGCCAACGGATGGCGGCCGTTCGGCCGAGGGCTGAATGGCGCGGATCCCGCGCCTTCGGCGCCCGAGCCAGCGAGGCGGGCACCTGGGCCTTATCCCCCCCCCCGGCGTGGTTCCCAGCCCGATGGGCGAGGGGCGCCGGGGGCTGGGGAGGAAGCCGCCGGCCGCGAAGGCGAGAGAGGGGCTTAGAAAGGGGCGGTCGCCCCCACCGCCGCCCGCTGCCAGAAAGGTGCGTTCTAGGGCTCTAAGGGGAAGGGGGCCAGCTTACATTACACCCTCCAGCTCCCTACGTTGCATGCTGCCGATGAAGAGGGAAAGCGCAGACACCGTGACAGCCATCACGGTGCCCGATCTCTGCAGCCGAGCCACAACTATACAAGGGGCGTGCA